CTCGACAGATGCTTAGTAGGAAACAGTGATCTGCAGTGTATGTTCATCTGATAGGAAAATATCAGTTGGATGTTGATCAGAGTTGTAAAGAGACAAGTTACAGTCCATTTAAACCTTTTGTATCATGAATTGAACTGGATGTGAGATTTTTAATCTTCCAACCTTTTGTCTGCTAATATTTGTTGCTCTGTATACCCACCTGTATCATCTTGTATTTATCAGCAGATGAATTCAATTGTTTAAATTCCCTTGTGGTACTAGCATAATTATTTTCCCCTAATTTTGCAGCTTCTGTGCTTCCAAGCACAAACAATGACAGAGATGATGGAGCTAATTTAAACCCAAGAAGGATTGACCATATATTTTCTCATCCTCGCCAGCCTCGGTCTCGGTCGGTCCGGCCTCGACTTTGTTTATCAATAGATTCTGACTCTGAGTAGATTGGACATTTAAATGGGATAGCTGAGTTTGCATTGATTTGGCAAGGCCGCCTTCCAGAAATCCTGATTTTTACCGAGGTTATCAGGTTCTTCTGGTTGATGTAAAGAGAAACACAAACATAGATGCTGTCTTGCCTCACCTGGTCGACAAACTTCCAAGTGTTCCATGGGGATCTGCACAGAGGACTCTGATGGTGAGCTTAACGAATCAATCATCTATTTCTGCAGTGTCCAATTTCTTTCGACAGGCAGTCCTTGCACTTTGTTTTTGTGGGATTCAAGTGGTTACTTTGTAACTAGGCATGTTTTTAGAAGAAAAAAACATGGCATGGAGGATATTTCTGCATCTCTGACTTAAGAATGGCATGCAACTAAGTCCAAATAGAAAGCAGAAGTTCCAAAGTAAAGCATGATAAGTAGAACCAAAGTCTGCTGCCAATTCTTGTTAGTTCCAAAGTAAAGCACGATAAGTAGAACAAAAGTCTGCTGCCAATTCTTTTTAGTTGTGCAAAATGAAGCGGATAAATATGCTCTTCTAAAGATTCTTTATGCTTCGGTTTGCTTCTGAACTTCCATTAGTTAGCCTGTTAGGTTTTATTCCCTTCCTTTTTTAAAATTTAACTGGTAGATTGGCTAGCGGAAGACATAGCCAGTGTTTTTTTAAATTTTGGATTGTCTAACGAAGCTAATATTTGACCGAGTGGCAAACTGTATACGGTTTTGTCACAGATGCTTCATCACCATCTAAGCTGTATAATTTATGGGCAGTAATTCAAATCTCAAATAAGCAGTAGTAATTAATCTGATCACATCTAAGCAGTAGTATGATTTGAACATTCTATATAACAAGAATCTCTCTTCTTTGTTATGCTAATATTGTTGAGGGCCTACTGGTGAAGCCATAGGGTAAAATAGCAGAGGAATTCATGAAGTTTCTTAAACTAAATTATTTACCATGACATGGAGTTTTTTCAACTAAATTATTTAACACGAGTTCATCCATATATTTATTTACCTGTTCATGTAATTATTAGAGATCACTTATGTATTTCTATTCCTGCTAGGTTGGTATAGAAAAATTTCTGACTGGGGATCAAGGATAATGTTGCTACTGGAGCAGTTTGTACATTTTTTGACCTTTACTGGACATAAGGGAATAGGGAGGCCACCCTGGATGCAAGTCTATACATGTGGATGTTTGTGTGTACCATCATTGTATTTAGGGTTTGAGGCGCTAATTTAGATGTTCGTTACCTTGATGTTCTATGGAGAATAAATTATTATTTCTGAAGTGGCGGTCAATAAACCGAGCCCTTCAGTGTTACTTGCTGCTGTTGATTTATCTGTGCTTTGCCAAGCATGAGAAGTGCCTGCCAGGTGTTGCATTTTCTTCGGAGTTCTCATGCCGGCATAACCTCAGTTGTTGCATGCAGGCTTGAGCGGGTTGATTATCTCATGCCAACGGGCAACCATGGCCTCTAATGGCAAGCAAGCTCATTTCCATCTCAGTACTGGTGTCACAGGAGCAGGCCTGTGCATTAACCAGTTTGCTTTGTCAAAAATGGAAACCTGCCTGTTGTGATATCCTAGAGAGTTTTGCTGCCAAATTTTGCAGTACTACATTGTGGTTTTGTGCATATACTTGCGTCGACTCATCACATGAGGTAAGTTGTAAATCGGTCTTGTCGCGCTCCTGTCATCGGACCATCATGATGGGCGGTACATGCATTGCCAAAATTTGGGTGCCCTCTTTGCCTTGTGATGTATGGAGATCGGTGCTGATGGGCAATAATCACCCCTATTAACGTTGTAACGACAGACGTCGTTACGGACATGCACCGTGGATATTGCCATGAGTGCATGGTAAAAAAATAATCCAGGGTGGAGATAAGAGGCCAAGGCAAGTCGAGTCATGGAAGCGCATCACTGCGCATGATCTACTGCTGTGCTGCAGGTCTCCATGGGACGGTTCTGTGCTGATTGTTAGGAGCCTACTCCTAGCCAGCCAGCATCATCCGTTGGTGTTGGTTTGGGGCAAAGCCGCTGTTTCCAAAGAAAACCCGATCATGATGAACAGCGCTTGTAGATCTCGAGATGACATCCACGAGACTTGCCGCCTCTCGTGCCGCCACACTGGAGCACACCAGTACGATAATATACAGAATAATCTAAAACAAAAGGTAAACTATACATGCCCTCTCATACACACACACACCCGCTGATCTGCAGTGTCTGCAGGTCAACTAGTGCGCCCTCCCACGCACGGTCGGTCGCTCCGCTGCACTATGAGTGTTTAGTCGGTTCTCACGCCATGCTCCCAAGTCAAACCTCGCATCAATTCCTCTAATCCTTTTCTTTTCTTACCGTGGTTGGTTCAGAGCACAGGCTTCTCGTGTAATGTACTCCTACTAGTGTAACGTAACGTGGCTTGGATTGGATCAGAGGCGTCGCGGTCACGGATTCTTTGGCCCTGCAACTACGAGGAGCTCGCTGTAGCTCTCGCGAAAACGAGATGGCTGCTGCGAACAGGGGCGCGAGAGTGATCGCTGCCCGGAATCTCCTTCGCACAGGGGACCTGTTATTTCTGCAGCCCAAACATGGGCACGGTTACTCCTAGCTAGTACCAGTAGTACATCTGCTGCCGGAGTGGGCGGGGTAAAAAGTTGGGAGGCACAGTCGAGTGAAGCAGGTGCGCGAGTTGTGTTTAATACATTTGCAAGGACAAAGCTCATTCATGGCACTGTTAAATCTACACGGTACTTAACAGTATACCAGTACATGTACTATGCCAGATTATTGGGTATAGTACTGGTGCTGCCACAGTGGCACCAGAGACGGTTGGATTTAACAGACGCATCGTGGCTACACCCACACAATTTGCGTAACAGTGCTAGATAAACAAGTAGTGGTAGCAGTGCTAGTGGCAGCAGGAGAAGATTTACAGCGTGGCTAGGTACGTGAATCTTTTTACAGGCATGGATGGATGGACGGACGGAGAAATGAGAATGGGGAATTACAGCTTTACTTACCGTGCTAGATTTAATCGACAGCGACAGCAACAAAAGGAAAATACTACTAGTATACGGGAAGCAGCCTACTCGCTCAGTGACCGGTCAAAGCCACCGCAGCGGCGGCGGCCGCCGGCGACATCTGCGGCGCGTGCCTCCGCCGCCCGCTGCTCCCGCCGTTGGCCCAGAAGCAGCCGGACGGCGCCCCCTCGGCCCCGGCACCAGTAGACATCTTCGCCGCAGCGGTCGTCGCCGGCTCCGACTTGCACCTCTGCAGCACCAGTGGCCGCGCCGACGAGCACCGCATCTCTTCCGCTTCGTCTTCCTCCTCCTCGTCGTCGTCGGCTTCGTGATCTTGTTCGTGCGGCTTCTCCTCGTCTTCCTGCGTGGATACTGCCATTTCTTGCCGCTTCTCGTCGTTGCTTTCCACCGCCACCATGTCCGGCTTGCGCGGAGATGGCGACGCCCGTGGTGACTGCAACATGTCCGGCTTCCGCGGGGAGGGAGACGCCCAAGGGGACACCATGTCCGGCTTGCGCGGAGAGGGGGACGCCCAAGGTGACACCATGTCCGGCTTGCGCTGGGAGGGGGACGCCCGAGGTGGCGTCGCGGCGATCGACTCCGCCGCGAAATCGGCTGCCATTTCCTGGACCGGCGACGGCGCGGCGCCGGCGGCGAACCTGGAGGTGAGCGGGGACGAGCGGTTCTGCGGCGCGGAGCGGCAGCGCATGAGGAGCAGAGCGTTTTTGGGCGGCGTGGTGGTGGCCGACGACACGAGCTCCGCAGCCTCCCCCTCCTCGCACTCTTCCTCCTCCTCCTTGCCACCGCTGTCGGTCCCCGGGTCACTCGCCTTCTCGTATCTCTCCGCCGAGCCGAAGGCTCCCGCCGACTTGTCGTCCTCCTCCCCCTCCTCCTCGGCGCGGTCGCTGGCCGGATCCGGCGGCTTGGGCGCGGCGGCGACGGCCACGTCCCTGCTGCTGAACACCCAGGGCGACCGGCGGGTGCGCTCCGCCTCCGGCGGCGGCCCCTTGCGCCGGCGCGTCCGGTCGAAGTCGAAGAGCCCGCCGCAGAGGAACGCCTTCTTGAGGCACCGGCAGTAGCCCCTGGCCTTCTCCTCCTTGGCCGGCGGCGGCGGGGGCGGCGCCGCAGGCGCCCCCTTCTTGCTGCCCTTCTTCCCCTTGCGCATCCGCACCTGGCCAATGCAGGTGACCTTGGGCGACGACGGCTCCCCGTCCGCCCCCGCCGCCGCCGCCGCCGCGCGGGTCCGGCCCCGCGACACGAACATGGGCGACGTGGCCGGCGCGCGGCGCGACCGCGCCCCGCGCCGGCTCTTGCTGAGCAGCAGCCGCGCCAGCCCCGGCGGCGCCGGCAGCTGCGGCTTCTCCGCGCGCCCCGGGCTCGCCGCCGGCTGCTTCATCCCGCCGCGCGGAGAGCAGAGCGAGCGAGCGGAGGATGGGACTACGGACTAGCAGCTAGCTAGCGTCCAGTGCGTTGCCGCCCTCGGTTTTGTTGGTCCGCCGAAGCGGTGGAGCAGTTATAGATGGGCCATTGGTTGGCGGTGGCGACTGGCGCGGGCCATTAGTCCACTCCACCCACTAACTATGATTAGTATAGTACTAGTAGCAATATTACTGATTAGGGAGGGTCTCTAGTTAACCCGGTTCTCCATGTCTTAGGATTCTCTGGCCCTGTGACTCTCCTGTGAATGTGCCTTACGTGCCAAGATTCCGGCTCACAAATTCCACACCTCTTTCTTTTTCTACTGGTGCAAATGTCTCCATTAGCCAGTAGAAGTGGAGTTTGTTGCAAGGCACCAGAACGGCAAACAAGTCGAAGCTACATTTACATGCGAATGCAACGAGCCAACAAGGGCATATTCTTTTTTCTGGAGGAAATTATCTGCCTAACAACACCACCATCTAGTCGTAGTACTCCTAAATATTTTTGAATATCTTTCTACGTGCGAATGCAACGAGCCAAGAATGAGGACATGTTTTTCCGGAGGGAATTATTTGGTTGAATAAAACTGCACCATCCATCCAGTAGTTGTATTTTTGAAATGAAACCAAACAAGCGGTACACGATCTAGGTGATGTGGGCATTTATTACAGTTTCGTGGGCTTGTCCCCCCTTGCGGGGCCCACCGTCGACCCATCCGTCCTTGAGCTCCGACCTATCCTCTCCTCTCCTCTCCTCTCACGTCAACTCCACCGCGCGGCTCCAAACGGACGTTCGTTTTGTCCGGTTTTTGTCCCTTTGGGTAGGAATTTGGGGTCGTGTCCGGGCCTGTCCTGGGATGCGGTGGCCGTGCGCCCAGCGCGCGGCCACATCCTTTTGCCCCATCCTGTCCGCGTCTATTTAAAAAAAGGAACGTTTCAAATGCCAAGCCCCAGTTCACGAGTTCATCACGCCGGCAACAAAGCCAGCGGCCTACACGACCATCGCCGACAACACAGACAACCTCCAAAATGAATAGTTGTCCTCGCCGGCAACACAGCCAGCGGCCGGCAACACAGCCAGCCTCCAAAATGAATGTTTTTTCGCCGGCACATTGCCAGCGGCCCAACGGGCGGGCGGCACCCATGCCAGCATCCAAAAAGAACGACCACGCCGATCGGACGACCTAGTTCAGGCCTTCGGCGTCGAGCATCTCGTTCTGCTTGGCCTCGAATCAGGCCCTCGTCTTGTCGCTCATCTTCGACAAGTCCACGCTCATGATCGCAAGGGCCACCTTCTTCGCTTTGGTGGCGGCATTGGTGGCCTCGATGTCGAGCTGCCTCTGCCTGGCCTTGACGTTGTCGGCCTCGATGTCGAGCTGCCTTTGCCGGGCGGCCTCTTCCATGTCGAGCTGCCTTTGCCGGGTCGCCTCCTCCATGTCTATCTTCCTCTTCTTGGCCGCCTCCTCCATCTCAAGCTTTTGTCGTTGGAGGTCTAGGTATTGCTTCATTTGCTCGTCCTTGCTTTGCCGCTTCTTCTCGTCCCTCACATCCTTATGTGACATCATGCCATGCAAAGTCTCATGCAAGACCATGGATGAGGCGTCACGTATGTCGTCCACCTTTGAGTTGGTCTTACCCCTCGGCCTCTTCAACGCCTCGCCATCCCCACCTCCGGCGAACTTGGCCGTCTTCTTGCCTCTCTTCCTTTGAAGTTCACGGTATTGATCCTTGAACTTAGGGCAATTATTGATGATCGTCCAACAACGCGTAAGAGTGAATGGCTTGTCATTGTGCCGGGCCTTGAATGCCTCCAAAGATTGAAATGCCTACACCACATGATCAACAACAAGCGAACATGCAAACATATACACGGCCGAAGTCTCATGGCCGTAGCAAGGGCTAGAAAGAGAAGAGCATACCATGTCTCCAACGCCGAGACCACTCACGGGCCGTGCTTCAACGCTCTCAAATGCGGCACAATACTTGTTGCACTCTTGTTGGATGGACAACCATCTTTTTTGAATCAAACCGATGCCACGCTTGCTTGTAATTTGGTAGGGCTCAAATATCTTCCTTTCACGGAATGTTTTGTGGACTCTCATCCAAAAAACAATGCCCTTTTGTTGCGCGCCGGTCCTTTGATCTTGGCTAATCTCCATTCAACATTGGCAAATCAATTTGTCCTCATCTTGTGTATATGAACCGGTGCGAATGCTCTTCCGCTTCTTTTGTGCTTTCGCTCTTTGGGTGAGCTCGTCTATGAACAATGGAGCGCCACTAATATCAACATCATTGGCTTCATCTTCATCTTCACCTTCAACATAGATGTCACCGTCTTCATGCCACAAATCACCATGGTCGTAGTCAGCACGGTCGTCGGCCTCTTCATCGGGCACGTACTGGGCGCGGCCATCCTGACTTTGGGTCTCATCGGGGTCGTAGGCACGGCCATGCCCACCCTGGAAGATCACGTCCTCCATGTACTGGTTGTAGAAGGGGTCGTCCACCGTCGGCATTGAGGTTGGCATTTCGTCAAACAACACGCGGGGGGCCGGCATGGTGCCCGTGAATGGTGCACGCGCCTGCTTTCTTTGCATCTCGACGGAAGGCCGCCCGCCGCTGCTGGACCCAGGCGCACGTTGAGGTCGATGACGGCCGCGGGGCGTGGTGTGGACGGCGCGAACAAGCCCACGTCCGGCGACGCCGAGAAACGGGTCTGGCCGTCGTGCCTGGGTGGAGGAAAGCCGGGCGACATAGGCGCGGCGCGCGACGTCGGCGACTAGCAGTGCGTAGGCCGGGCGACCGACGAGCCTGTGCTCGCCGGGCCAACGGCCGCTGCATGGAACCCCGCCGGACAGCCCATGCCAAGCATGAGGATGGCGTGCGCTTTGTTGACGAGGTCCTCCTTCTTGTCGGCAGCGGCCTTGCGCCGCACGGCCTCTAGCTCCTCGCGCTGGGCGGCGAACTTGGCCGCGGCGGCATTCATCTTGATGGCCGCTCTCCGTTCCCTCCTCTTCGCCGATTCCGCGTCCAACTTGGCGATCTCCTCCGGCGTGTACTTCAACCGCGGCTTCCTTGGCGCCTTCTTCTTCACTTTTGCGATCGGGTTGACGGTCAG